GCATGTAGCAAGGGCGTAATATCCAAGGGGCAGAATCAATACCTGGCTCCGGCCTTCTGTCTCCCGCTGGCCATTTGTCGTCTCGGGCGTTCTTTGGAGGCTTGATTCATGGCGCTCGTAAGCTCTGCGGTGGTGGTGTGGGGGAGGATGGGTGGGTGATTTTGGGTGGGTTTGGGGATGGTTGGGTGGGTGGTTTTGGGGGATGGATGGGTGGGTGATTTTGGGTGGGTTTGGGGATGGTTGGGTGGGTGGGTTGGGGATGGATGGGTGGGTGATTTGGGATGGGTTGGTGGGTGGGTTTGGGTGGATGGATGCATGAGTGGTGGGAGGATGGGTGGGTAGGTTTGGGGGATGGATGGGTGGGTGGGTTTGGTGGATGGGTGCATGGATGGTGGGTAGGTTTTGGGGGGGATGGGTAGGTGGGTGATTTTGGTGATGGGAGGATGGGTTGGTGGTGGTGGGTGGGTGGTGGATATGTGCATGGATGGATGGTGGATGGGTTGGTTTGGTGTATGGATGGGTAGGATTTTGGGTGCATGGGTAGGTAGGTTTGGGGATGGGTGGGTGGGAGGATGAGTGGTAGGTTTGGGTGGATGGGTGGGTGGTCTGAGTGGTTGGGTGGTGGATGTTGGTAGGTAGGTACGTGGTTTGAAGGTGGATGGATGAATAGGTGGGGGGATGGGTGATGGACGGGTGGATAGTGGATGGATGGATAGAGGCTAGAGTAGGTGGATTGATTGGCGTTGGGTGTATGGATTGGTGCGTGGATTGATGGATGGATGAAAGGACGGATGGATAGATGAAATGAATAGATGATATAACGATTGGAGACCTGAATTGATAAATGGTCCAATGGACTCACAGATATTTGGATCCGCGGACGAACGGATAGGCAGAGGGATGGATAAATGGATAGTTGGGTGGGCGGAGAGCCTGACGCTCAGCCAGACAGGTCAACGGCCAAGGTAGGCGGGCGTGGAGTGTGACTGGCAGGCAGGCGAGCGGAAGGAACAGCCACGCCGGGGAAAGGAGCAGCCTTGAGCCCGAGCATTAGCGCCAGGCCTTGAGCCCGAAGCCACGCCGGGGGAAGAAGGCGCAGCAGGCCTTGTGAGCCCCTTGAGCCGAGTTGAGCCCGAAGCCACGCCGGGGGAGAAGGCGCAGGAGCAGGCCTTGAGCCCGAAGCGCCGGGGGGAAGAAGGCGCAGCAGGCTTGAGCCGAAGCCACGCCGGGGGAAGAAGGCGCGGGAGCAGGCCTTGAGCCGAAGCCACGCCGGGGGAAGAAGGCGCAGGAGCCTTGAGCCCGAAGCCACGCCGGGGGAAGAAGGCGCAGGAGCAGGCCTTGAGCCCGAAGCCACGCCGGGGGGAAGAAGGCGCAGGAGCAGGCCTTGAGCCGAAGGCCGAAGAAGGCGCAGGAGCAGGCCTTGAGCCCGAAGCCACGCCGGGGGAAGAAGGCGCGGGAGCAGGCCTTGAGCCCGAAGCCACGCCGGGGGAAGAAGGCGCGGGAGCAGGCCTTGAGCCCGAAGCCACGCCGGGGAGAAGGCGCGGGAGCAGGCCTTGAGCCCGAAGCCACGCCGGGGGGAAGAAGGCGCAGGAGCAGGCCTTGAGCCCGAAGCCACGCCGGGGGAAGAAGGCGCAGGAGCAGGCCTTGAGCCCGAAGCCACGCCGGGGGAAGAAGGCGGGGAGCAGGCCTTGAGCCGAAGCCACGCCGGGGGGGAAGAAGGCGCAGGAGCAGGCTTGAGCCAAGCCACGCCGGGGGAAGAAGGCGGAGCAGGAGCACGCGGGGGAAGAAGGCGCGGAGCAGGCCTTGAGCCCGAAGCCACGCGGGAAGAAGGCGCGGGAGCAGGCCTTGAGCCCGAAGCCACGCCGGGGGGAAGAAGGCGCAGGAGCAGGCCTTGAGCCCTAAAGCCACGCCGGGGGGAAGAAGGCGCAGAGCAGGCCTTGAGCCCTAAGCCACGCCGGGGGGAAGAAGGCGCAGGAGCAGCCTTGAGCCCGAAGCCACGCCGGGGGAGAAGGCGCGGGAGCAGGCCTTGAGCCCGAAGCCACGCCGGGGGGAAGAAGGCGAGGAGCAGGCTTGAGCTTGGAGCAGGCCTTGAGCCAGCCCGCCGGGGGAGAAGACAGGCCTTGAGGCCGGGGGGAAGAAGCGCAGGAGCAGGCCTTGAGCCCGAAGCCACGCCGGGGGAAGAAGGCGCAGGAGGCCTTGAGCCCGAAGCCACGAAGAAGGCCTTGAGCCCGAAGCCACGCCGGGGGAGAAGGCGCGGGAGTAGGCCTTGAGCCCGAAGCCACGCCGGGGGAAGAAGGCGCAGGAGCAGGCCTTGAGCCCGAAGCCACGGGGGGAAGAAGGCGCGGGAGCAGGCTTGAGCCCGAAGCCACGCCGGGGGAAGAAGGCGCAGGAGCAGGCCTTGAGCCCGAAGCCACGCCGGATCGCCCGCAGGCAGAAGCGCAGGCTCTGGTGCAGGCTCAGTGACGGCGCGAGAGGCAGACAATTGGCCGGGAGGGTTGGTGGACAGACGACGGCAGGCAGACGGGGCGAGGGCGGGAGCGAGCGTGGCGGGAGGAAAATGTTGGCGCCAGCAGGTGAAGGGAGGGAGGAGGAGAGGAGGGAAGGAAGAGGAGGAGAATGGGGGAGGAAGAGGCGAGATGGGAAATAGGGAGGGGAGAGAAGAGGAGAGAGATGAATGGAGGAGAGGGGAGAGGAGAGGGGGAAAGGAGGAGAAGGGGGGAAAGAGGAGGAGAGGGGGGAAGGAGGAGGAGAGGAGAGCGAGGAAAGGAGGAGAGAAGGGAAAGTAGGAGGAGAGATGAAAAGGAGAAGAGGAGAGATAGGGACGAAAGAAAAAAAAAGAAAAAAAAGGAAAAATGCCCCGAGATAAGGAGCCCTCCGCCTCGCCAAGGGCAAGGAGAAACGAAGACGATGAATGAGTGAGAGGGCGAAATGCGAGCGAGGGAGAGTGCGCCTGGGTGCGAGTGCATGTGCGTGTACTGAACGTTACGGTCCCGCCCTCACCCTTGGAACCAGGGAGGGAGGGGGAGGGGCGGGGGCGGCGTCTGTACCTATGTCTGGCTCCTCCGATGTTGCCTTGTCTCCTGTTTTTGTCGTTGGCGGGGAGCTGGACGGGAAGGAGCATGGAGTTATAGCATGTCTGGCCGGGGACCAGGGTCGGCTGCGCTTGTCTAGTAACGCTGGTTTGAGTTTTTTCGCGTATGTGTCTGTGGGGCGAGAAAAGGTCGGGGGCGTTACAATTTTCGGGCGGGACGGTTCCTTAATGATCGTAGGAGAAACTTTCTAGAAGTTATATTGACCCGTGCGTGCTGTTGCCGTAATTTGCCGTGCTGTTGCTTTCCAGAGATAAGATCGCTCAGTTCGCTGCCGTATTTTTCCGTGCATCTGCGCAAGGCCCGTGTCCACCTCCAGTATGTATTGGAAAGCAAGGCGACTCAGCAAGTGCAGGTGATGTTGCAGGAACCCCGCCTTGTTGCACACGTAACTCGTGTCGCCTGAGGTTGCGTGGACCTGCACCTGTGCCTGCCTCGTCACGTGCTCATGACCCACGTGTTGGGCGTGCGTCACACCTGATTGCGCCCGCGACAGGTGCGACCAGGGAGCGCGGGTGAATCATTTGATGTTGGATGAAGGGCTGTTGGCCAGGCGAGGGGCGGCCGCCACTGGGTTTCCTCTCTCCCTTTATAGCGGGGGGGGGGGCGTCTTCATTTTGTTGTTGCCGTTATCATCATATTTAGTACTATAATGACGATTACTACTATTATTACTGTTATTTTTATACTTGTTGCCTGTTTTGTGTGGTCCTGCTACACGCATCTTCTAAACATATGATAATATTAGAAATGCAACAAAACCCGTACAAGGCTTGCCTTAATTTATGTTGGCGTGTGTATGTGTACATGCGCTTGCATGTGCTTCTACATGAAGTTGTTTGCATAATCGCACCGCATATACGTGTGTGTGTGTGTGTGTGTGTGTGTGTGTGTGTGTGTGTGTGTGTGTGTGTGTGTGTGTGTGTGTGTGTGTGTGTGTGTGTGTGTGTGTGTGTGTGTTCGTGCGTGTGTGTTAATCTGTGTGCACATTAATGAATTTTTGATCGGACAAAACTTCTGGCAATCTTTGATGTTTGTTAATTCACTGATTGGAAAAAAAAAACAGTTTTTCACTATAGTCGTCCGTGTTATTGGTTGTCCTAAATCATTACCGTAGCCTCTGTTGATGTGGAAATACAGTTTATCTACGAAGAAAAATCGCCTCTACAATCGAAGCATAGATCTTAGCATGGTATACAGCCTGCATTCTTTACCTTCATTTAGATATAGTTTACGATAAATGTATAAAGGCGAATGAATGTTGAGTTTTGAATAATTTAATATCAAGTAAAATGTAGCTAGCTGTGCATGATAATGTATCATAGCGAATAAGTCTACAGTTTGCATGTAGTTTGATTCCATCGATTTATATGCCAGAGTTAAAGATAAGATTGAGTAGTGGAAGTGATATGTCTATCTTGTAAGTAACACGTTGATTAGATTTGCTAAAATTCACAAGCACTCAGGCACAGAGGCAGACTTGCGTCACTACAGCCTTTCTCACTCAACTCTGTCACACAATTACTCGCTCGCTCACTCACTCACTCACTCACTCACTCACTCACTCACTCACTCACTCACTCACTCACTCACTCACTCACTCTGATGAAACTACACACACAAAGTAAAAAGTAACAAAAAACTCACTCACTCACTCATACGACCACTCTCTCACTCATTCACTCATTCAGTCACTTGCTCACTCCCTCACACAATCCCTCACACAATCACTTCACCACCCTCCTTCCCTCCTACCCACTCACTCACCTCTCTCACACTCTGTCTATCTATCCATCAATCAATCTATCTATTTATTTGTTTGTCTCAAAACAGACTTTTTGATTAGTACTAACAGAAATCTTTTTTCCACAGATATCTCGTGACTCCTCTGATGGGTGCCGACTTAAACAATATCGTCAAAACACAAAAGTTAACAGATGATCATGTTCAGTTCCTCATATACCAAGTCCTTCGAGGCCTTAAGTACATTCATTCAGCGGGTATTATCCACAGGGTAAGTTGCTTTTGCATCATCATCATCATCATCATCATCATCATCATCATCATCATCAATAATCATCATCAATAATCATCAATAATCATCATCATCTTCATCAATAATCATCATCATCTTCATCAATAATCATCATCATCTCCATCTCCATCAATAATCATCATTATCATCATCAGTAATCATCAATCATCAGTCATCATTACAATTTTTTCTCAATACTTTTTTTATTTTTACTTATTTATATATTTATTTTTATTTATTTATTTTGTCATTACAATTATTGGATCTGATATCTTACTCTTGAAGCTGATAATGTATAGAGAAATTACAGATTAATGTTAGTTTGTCCGTTAGCTGGAAAATTATATAAGACAATAAAAAATATTCCTTCCCCACAGGATCTAAAGCCAAGTAATATAGCTGTCAATGAAGATTGTGAGCTGAAGATCCTCGACTTTGGTTTGGCCCGGCCCACAGAGTCAGAGATGACTGGTTATGTGGCCACCAGGTGGTACCGTGCTCCAGAGATTATGCTCAACTGGATGCATTATAATCAGACAGGTATCATGGGAAGAAGGGGAACTAGTCAATATTGCAATGCTCAGTGTCACTGCTGCTCCCTATATTCATGTCACTAATGATGAAGAAAATTTGAGTATCATTGTAAGGAAAATCCTCTCTAACTCTGCTATGTTTCCTTTGCTTCCAGTGGATATCTGGTCAGTAGGCTGCATAATGGCTGAGCTTCTGACTAGCAGAACCTTATTCCCAGGTGCTGATCGTATCCTTTTAAGCTAAAGAAAGAAAAGAACAGAGTCAGACGGCTTTCTTTCGGAAAGGATGGATCAGAGTGACTCGCAGGGTTTTAGTTGATGTTGAGGGATGGAGTATTATTTCCTAATTATTATTGCATCATTGTTCTTCAACATGGTCTGTGCAACTGTTCTGGTTTCTGTAACTGGTAAAGATTATTTCTGTCAGATACTTATTTATACTGTTTTATTGGTATGTGTTGTAAATTGGTGGTCCATGATTTAGTTCGTTGAGGTGGTTGATATGATGTCAACTAATTTTTGATGTCTTAGCATAAGTAGTGGTTATTGATTATTATTTTTTTCCTCGGGGGCTGCTACTAATAATATATTATGGTGATTATGCTCAAAGACTTAAATGGTGCATCCAACAGCAGACATGGAAAGTAATGTAAGTTAGCACATGTTTCTTTGTAGTAAACAACTTTCAGGCACATCAACTTATGGGACATTACATATATAAATGAACCTGTGAATTTATTACTCACTAACATATTTGTATCTTTCATGTGTAATTAACCAAGGTAAATGAAAATCTTTCAATACCCAGGGATTTCAAGGTTCATCATAATTACTGTGTGACATTGCGTCATGCATTTAAAAAACAGTAAGGTTCTGTCTTTGTACTATAATTGTATTATGTATATAATATTATTATACACATATATTTATGTAAGATAATCTTGGTTAGATCTATAAGTTACAGATGCAAGTTGTAAGATTTACAAAATAATTTTTCTGATTATTGGTAAAAAAACATTCATATTCTGTGCTGTTTGTACCAGTTACAAGGCATTATTTATAAATCCTTCTCTAAATGTGTAGTGTAGCTCTGTCCTCATCTCTTTAATTTTCTTCCTAATATTAATATTCTTTCTCACTAGAGAGTCTGCTGGCCTATACCTTTAATCTGCACAAGGCATGTTGGATGAATGATAGTTATTGTTATCTCTATAGTACTATGTGTATTCTTTTATATGAACTTTTTATTTATTTTATTTTATTTTATTTTTTTGTAAGTATTAATAATTTTTATTATTTATTTATTTACTTTTTTGTTTTTGTTTTTGTTTTGCCTCTTGCTTAATGTAGCTGTTGTGGAGTCCGAGTACTGTTTCTGGCTTTTTGCTTAGTTAAAACCTGCTTACTAGTTGTGTGATTCTGAACTGTTGATAATCCTTATGATTTTACAAGGATCAAAAAGAGAAAAAACAAGAAAGCCCAGCAATTTTCTTTATTATTATTTCTGACTGAAAGATAATGTAGGTTGAAGCTCTCTGAGCAAGGATTTATATGTGGGGTATAGTTTAAAAATATTCCCCCCTTGAAATTATGATAGATTTTTTTTTCTACAATTATTATTTTCTGAATACAGTTCACTATCCTAAAGTAAGTAAAAGAAGTTTGCAGTAATGATCATTTCTACCTGGAGTCAGACCTTCAGTACTGGACGCACTCCCTCCCGTTTTGTCTATTATGCAAAAGTTAGCGTGTGAAAGTGTTTGTGGCTGTTTTGGCATGTGCTGTTGTGACCCTTAGTCCAGACCTTAGATATCCAACAGCTCAATCTTATCATGGAGATCTTGGGAACACCACCTCAAGAGTACCTCAACAGGATCACCTCGGAGTCGGTAAGTTCCCCCTCGCCTGGCTACACCTGCGTTCCCTGCCGAGGCAATGAGCAAAAAGCATGGATGGTGCTTCTACATTGTAACCCTTCCTTCCTCTGTCTTTTTTTTTTTTTTTTCATTTTTTATTTACTTGATGTTACATTTTTGTTTTTATTTACTGATTTATTTTTCTTGGCTTGTTGGCAGTGTCTGTGGTAGAAATGCACTTGCTCCTCTAGCTAGAAAAATTGGTGGCATTAGCTTCAGGCTAGACCAGAGTCATGTGTACTTGCATCCATCACCCCCTAGAAATCACGTTAATTAATTTATCTGACTGTGATGGTTTGCATTTTATAAGAAAATATTGAGCATTACAGTGAGCTCGATAGTTCTCTTTTTTATTAAGAAGTCCGGAGAACATGCCACTTCCTGTGCAGTCTGCTTTTCTTTTTATATTTAAAAGTAAATAATCTGAGACATCTCAAGGAGGTATCATAAATATGTTGATTTGAGTAGCATTGTGTACATATAATTTTTTTCTTTTTCATTAGCATTTTTCCTTACAGGAGCTCAGTATAGCTAACACTTATTAATATTCCACCATTGTGTACAGTTGAAAAGCTGAGTTTATGTAACAGATAAGTGGACCCCTTAAATGCTGGAACTGAGACAAGTCCATTTAATGAGGCTTTCAGTGCAGCCAGACTTAGCCACAAACATGGCATGAGCTACAAGTGGTGGAAAAGAATGCATTGTTATGGCTGTGTGACTTTTATGATGGGTTGCTTGATTACTTGTGCAAATACTGTTAGGTTACCTTAGCCCAGGAATCAGATATAGATCAGCTGAACAAGATTATGAAGCTGGTTGGGACGCCAAGTAAGGACCTTATAGATAAGCTCTCCAGTGAAGAGGTTAGTCCCTCTCCTCAGCTGGACAACCATGATTGATACTACCACACTGACAGCTGCCAAACTGTGTGCTTGTGTACCCAAACGTCCCCCAATGCTCCATCGTCTTGTGCCATTTTGCCTTGCATCTTGTCCCCTGTGTTGTGTGTCTTTGTGCCTCCCAAGTCCTTGCCTTTGTGGTCAGTGCTTGTGTAGTTCTCTTTCCATGGGATTTAAGCTGTGGCTTGCAGCAACTTCAGTGAAATGTGTCTTTTTTGGTATGTCCTATGTTTGTATATACTCAATTTGGAGTTTACTCAGCAAAAGATAACCACAAAAAAATCATTTTTACAGTATCTATTTGCACAGTTGTGTCAGGAAGTTCCTTTACTGGGTGTGCACTCCGGTGATGTTTTTAGCACTTCTATATCTACCTAATATTGCTAGCCATTATGGCTTCTTGCAATTATATTTAACACACACCCATCACTACACTATGGATACCAATTTATTCATAAAGATCAACACGGCTATTGTGATGGTCCTACACCTCGACAGAAGGTCAAATAAGGGAGTATAGGAACTTCTTGAAGCAACTGTACATTGTAGGTAATGAGAAGTATTTATTGACATGGAAGGTTTTAACTTTAAATGAAAATTGATGTTCATTAATCTTTTAGTTGTATGATATATTAAACAGGTGTATGGTGATGTATCTGTATATTAGAAACTTTTTTCATATATCTATGCATTATTAAATTTCTGTTTTACTGATGACTAAATTTCCTTGATTGTTACTGGTATTTCAGGTTGTAAGGGACATTCTTTGTATGTCGACAAGACAGGTCTAACACTGTATTAACTTAGAAATGTTGATTTAATGTTTAGGAACTCCTACTACCAGCTATTTTAGGATCAGCATTGTGTGATCTAATACAATTCAGATGATTACCTCTACACTAATAATATCTTAGGTAGACACAACAGTGATTCTCATACGATGATCTTTAGCTCGAGTTAGTAGCTTCTTTGTAGCTCTACCTCTGATGCTATGCTTAACATGATTGTTCTAGCTGCCTTAACCTGGCTTCTCAGACATTGACCAACTAACGCGCATCCTAGTGGTCGCCGGAACGCCGGATGAAGAAACTTTATCTAAAATCACCAGTGAGGAGGTAAAGCAATCACTGTTTCTGACACCTCCATCACTTTCTAAATGCCAATGGCATTTAATTGTTTTCATTGCAACAGATAATCAGTGAAGTCAAAGAGTAGACCATGATTGATGGCCAGACTCTGATCTTGAAATCTGTTGCTTTGTAAAGCAAGCTTCTCTTAATTTCAAATTTTCAAATGAAAGTTCACTGGTAACCAGGTTTTACAGTGTTGGTTAGGGTAAGAACTTTAACTTGCATTGAAGTTAAATACCTATTAAATATCTTCATATTCTTTATAAACTTATTGTACTTTGCATGTCACATGAGGTATATGGGACTATCAGCTGTAAGAACAAAACTCTTAATCTTATAGTGTAAGGGGTATATGGTAGAGTAATTTTCCAATAATTTGTACCTTAAAATGGAGGACCATATTTTCGTCACATTTTTTGTGGTAAGACAAAGGAATTGTGACCATGGGAACCAATAGATTTTCTAATACCTACTTGGCTTCCTCCCAACTCTTCTGTCTTCATTTTGTTTTCCAGATGGTAGAGATTATGATATTCATATGAATGAATGTATCTTATTTTTTCCAGTATCCATAAAGAAAATTCAATATGATTTTTTCACCTAGAGATAAAATGCTTTTAAGTACCTAAATTTTCTGCAAAATGATTGACAAGTAATCATATCAGCCTGTAATGTGCATTATGTATGTTTCGTGCTTTAAGCTCATTCTCTGCTTTCTTGCAGTTGCGAATATGTGTCTGAGCTATTATGCTTTTCCATGAATAGACCCAGATAAATGTTCTAATACATAGGATAAGATTGTATGATTTCTATTATTGAGCATAGTTAGTTTTCTGTGAAATACACTTTGGGATATCAAAAGGAATAGCATTGCTCATTGAGGATTTGTCTTGAAATTTGCAGGGATTAGATTTTAAAAGAAAGAAATAATTCATGGAAGTTGTTCTGTTAATGGAAATTACATCAGGAAAGCCCATTTATAAAGAAAATATGATTTATTTCTAAATGTAATTTTGACTCGCTGCAACATTTTTGTTTGCTGTATTTAAAAAAAATCTTAATCTATGTTCAATATTGTCATGAAGTTGCTATAGTCTTATTCTTTTTTTATTGAAGATAAGAAGTTTATATCTTCCAACAGTTATGTTCAAGCAACTTCAAGAGTAAATATAAAATGTGAAAAATCCCTTCTGGCTAAGTACCGTTATGAGACAGAGATTGTAGACCTAAAAGAGAGGTCATTTTTGCTCCACACATGTTGTGTAACAGGGTATTTGGCTCATCTAATGATTTGCTAACAACTTCACCACCATTCTCTTAGGCTCGCAACTACATACGCTCGCTGCCCCACATGAGGAAGAAGGACTTTAAGCAAGTCTTCCGTGGAGCGAATCCCTTAGGTGAGTGGTGTTAGGGTCGTGGATGTTGTGTGCAGTGGTATTGTTGTTTTCTCATCATTTCTGGTTGAAACTTTTATGTAGTTTCATTGTTTAGATAATAATTGTTTTCTTGTCAATATTGTCAGTTCTTCCAATATGATTATTACGGTAAATATAGCTGTTATTAATACTATTACTGTTAATGTGACTTTGAATATTAGCAAAATTACAATTGAAAGATTTAATTGGAACTTAACATAGAACCAATTTTTACCTCCAATTGCTGAAATTGTAAGCTTTATTTTGACTTATTCCCCTCACACAACTTTTACCCTGATATATGCAGCAACGTAAACTGTATTGCCAATTACAGCGGTAGACCTACTAGAGAAGATGCTGGAGCTGGACAGTGAAAGGCGTGTAACGGCAGCCCAAGCATTGGCCCACCCTTACCTGGCTCAGTATGCGGATCCCAGTGACGAGCCTGACAGCGAGCCCTACGACCAGAGCTTCGAGGACATGGATCTCCCAACTGAGAAGTGGAAAGGTCTGTATATTCTTTTATTTCTTCTTCTTTTTCCTCCTCCACCTTTCCTGCTACTCTTCGTCCTTTCCTCCTCCTCCTCCTTTACTTCCTTTCCTTTTTCTCTTCCTCCCTTTCCTTTTTCTCCCCCTTCCTCCCCTATTCTCCACATCCTTATAGTTTTCCTAATCTCATCATCCTTATTCTCCAACCCCATTCTTTTTTCAGTCTTAACTTCTAGCAGTTGTCATGACCTTATAACTGAAATCTTGGTAAATTTTGACCTTATATTTTAAAACTAAGGTAAATTTAAAATAAAATCCAGTTAACTTTCCTTTGTTTGCCACATGAAATAATAATGTATAAAATAATTCCTGTGTAGAGACCTGCCTTAAAAATGCCTAGGTATTTGATTAGTACTCATTCTGTTGATATTATCCTTATTAACATTATCACCAGATCAGATGAGTGGAAAAGCTGGACTGACTTGTAGAAATGATGTAGCACATTTATTGAAACACAGGTGTAATTCTAAATTCTATTGTCACTCTCAATTTCTTTTATTTTAGTATGTTATCAACATTGGTGACCTCTTTTCACAGAACTTGTCTGGAAAGAAGTTATAGCCTTGTGTTGACCTCATAACTGAAATCTTGGTAAATTTTTACCTCATATTTTAAAACTAAGGTAAAATTAGAATAAGATCCAATTAACTTTCCTTTGTTTGCCACATGAAATAATAATGTATAAAATGATTCCTGTGTGGGGACCTGCCGTAAAAATGCTTAGGTATTTGATTAGTGCTCATTCTGTTGATATTATCCTTATTAACATTAAGTGAGGCGGACTGTGGACCCTGTTGGGGGGCCGACTGCTGGAGCGCAGGCTGGGAATGGGAACTACTCATCTCGCCTGCGCTCTAGCAGCTGCCAGCCCAGAGTGAAGCTTGTGGGGGAAAGCCCTCAGGAACCCCACAGGTGGATGATGGGACCCGCAGCCCGCCACACCCTTTTATGTGGGACAGCGTCAGTGTCGGCGGGGGTGGCAGAGGTGGCATCCACCTGGAGTAACTGTCCGAGGTTGAATCTCAGGTGGGAAGTCAGGGTGGGGGCTTGGGACATCCGGTCTTTACGCCAGGATAATCGGTTGCCTCTTCTGTCGAGGGAACTGGGGAGGTTGAGAGTTGAGGTGGCTGCTCTCTCAGAGGTGAGGAGACCTGGCAGCAGCATGATCAGTGTAGGTGGCTACACCTATTACTGGTTGGGCCGCAGCGACGGTCATGACCTCCAGGGAGTAGCCATTGCCATCTCCAACAGACTCCAGCCCTCGGTAGTAGAGGTTACTCCTGTTGATGAGCGTATAATGGTATTGAGACTGAAGCTATCTTTTGGCTTTATGTCTCTTATTGCTGTGTACGCTCCTACCAATGTTTGTAAACTTGACGTGAAAGAGATGTTTTACGCCAAACTTGCATCTGTGGCAGACAGATGTTCCCAGCGAGATATTCGCGTTGTTCTAGGTGACTTCAATGCGGTATCTGGTTGTGATCGAGCTGGCTGTGAGATGTCTTTCGGTCCCCATGGCTCAGGAGCTAATGCCGGTAGTGAGAATAGCCTCCTTTTCCGGGATTTTGCTAGGTCCCAGAAATTGAGGATTTCTGGCTCCTGGTACCAGCGCCCGGACCACATCGTTGGACATGGTACAGCGATGCGGGTTGGAGCGCAGCCCCGATACAGCGTCACACTGGCGGGCCACCTGGCAGTGTTTATTTTTTCCGGTGTCTCGTATATGTGACACCCGGAACGAATGGGTTAAGCGTGAAACGCTTGATGCAGCTCAAGATACGATTGGTGTACGCCTAAGAGCAATACAGAATTTCATCTCGCAGGAGACACTGGAAGCCACAGATGCTTGTCGTGCGGCTCGTCTGACAGGGGATTGGGAATTGCACCGGTCTCATGTGCGCAGAACTCGGTCTCTGTTAAGAAGGGACAAGGAACAGTTTATTAGGAGTCTTGCAGAGGAGGTAGAAGGCCATTTCATAGTAAATGACCTTTGTTCTGCTTACCAAGCCCTGAGAAAGCTGAACTCCAAGCCCTCTTCACAGGTGACAGCAATTCGCTTAGTAAGTGGTCAGATCATTTCAGATCCTGTTGTGGTGCGGGAACGCTGGGCTGAGTATTTTGAGCAGTTGTACCAGGTTGACCCACCAACAGTTAACTTAGATGCGCGGAGTGCCGAGACCCCGTTGCCGGACCCACCCATCAGTTAGGATCCTCCCTCCCTAACTGAAGTTAGGGGGGCAATCTTCAAGCTGAAGAGTGGTAAAGCAGCAGGTATCTGCGGCATACCAGCTGAACTGTTAAAGGCTGGTGGTGAACCTATGGCGCGGGGGTTACATGCTGTCCTGGCTGCCATCTGGCGGTCCGGTACCATTCCTCCTGACCTGTTAAGGGGTGTGGTCATCCCTCTCTGGAAAGGGAAAGGGGACCGTTGGGACTGTAGCAATCACCGAGGCATCACACTGCTCAGTATACCATGCAAGGTTCTCGCCCACATCCTCCTGAGACATATCAGAGACCATCTACTGAGGCATCAGAGACTGGAGCAATATGGATTCACTCCTGGTATGTCTACAATAGACCGTATCCTTGCTCTTCGAGTCATTGTAGAGCGCCGCCGTGAGTTCGGGCGTGGGTTGCTTGCAGCCTACATCGACCTCAAGAAGGCGTTCGACATGGTGCATCGGGAATCACTCTGGGAGATCCTGAGACTGAGAGGAATTCCAACAAGGATTATTGGACTTATAGCAAGCCTGTATACTGGTACTGAAAGTGCTGTATAGAGTGGTGGGGGCCTGTCGAGCTTCTTCCCTGTTAGTTCAGGAGTGAGGCAAGGCTGTGTCCTTGCACCAATTCTTTTCAACACTTGCATGGACTGGATACTGGGCAGAGCTACTGTTCAAAGTCATTGTGGAGCAACACAGGGCAATATCAAGGTTACTGACCTTGACTTTGCTGATGATGTTGCTATTCTATCTGAGTCTCTGGAGACCCTAGTAGTGGCTCTGGATGCATTTAACAATGAAGTGAAACCCTTGAGTCTAGAGGTCTCCTGGACCAAGACCAAGATCCAGGACTTTGTAGACTTGCTAGGAGAACCTGTTCAGTCGGTGCGTGCTTGCGGCGAGGACATTGAAGTCACAGAGAGCTTTACATACCTTGGTAGTGTAGTTCATAATTCTGGGCTGTCAGACCAGGAAGTCAGCAGACGGATTGGCCTGGCAGCAGGGGTCATGAACTCACTCAACAAGAGTATTTGGAGATGTCGGTATCTGTGCAGAAGGACCAAGCTACAGGTTTTCAAGGCCTGATAATGCCAGTTTTGCTGTACGGTAGTGAAACCTGGACATTATCCTGTGCCTTGGAGGCTTGTCTTGAAGCCTTTTGTAATAGGTCCTTGCGCCGGATCATGGGGTACTATTGGCGGGACCATGTGTCCAACCAACGATTACACCATGAGACTGGCACAGGACCTGTTATCTGCACAATCCGTGATCACCAACTCAGGCTATACGGCCACCTGGCTCGCTTTCCTCAGGATGACCCTGCCCATCAGGTAGTCTCTGTTAGAGACAACCCTGGGTGGAGGAGGCCTGTGGGACGACCTAGGAAGTCGTGGCTTGGGCAGATCGACCAAACCTGTTGTGAAGAACTCGAGATGGGCCAAGTCCCTGCCTGGCGTCTTGCCATGAGGGATCCTCGTGGCTGAAAGCGAAGGGTGGATGCAGCTATGCGCCCCCGTCGGCGTTAGCCCCCCTTGATTGATTGATTGATTGATTGATAACATTATCACCAGATCAGATAAGTGGAAAAACTGGACTGATTTATAGAAATGATGTAGCACATTTACTGAAATTCAAAGGTGTAATTCTAAATTCTATTGTCACTCTCAATTTCTTTTATTTTAGTATGTTATCAACATTGGTGACCTCTTTTCACAGAACTTGTCTGGAAAGAAGTTATAGACTTCTCACCTAAGCCAGCAGTATTGGCAGAAGAAGCAGAGAAAACGCAGTCATCATCGCAGTGAGAGTCGCACTTCAAAACTGAGTACTTTGTTTCGGAATTTGCTTGAAAACATCCTTCTTTTCATGGTGAAAGTGTCATACATTAGCATAGGGGCACCTGAAGAGGAATATGTTGTAAATATTCACATGCCAAACAGTACACCCTGTGGATGTTCCTCGTCAGCTCTGTTCTTGAAGATAACCTCAGGTGGAAGATGTCGGGAACTGATTTTGTATGAAATTTGTGTTTATTAAGATTATTGTATGATGACAGTTGCTGTTTATGATTTTCTTTTGCAGTCATGTGGGGACTTTTGTAGGCCTGTAAAATACATTCTGCCTTATCCTTATTAGGCATGGATATTTTTATCATTCTGAGTTATTCTCTGTAAATTTGAAAGTTATTACTATTTTTGGTGTGTATTTGAAGCATTATCATACTTATTGTAATTATATTCTAACCACCATGCTTTGATGCAATGTAGAGAGGGAGGTATCAAAGATTCGGGTCAAAAGCTAGTTATCTTTAGATTTATTTTGTAAGAGAAGTGCAGGTGGGTGAGGGAGAATATATACTTTGACTTTTAGAGGTGGCCTTAGTCTTGTATTGTTGAATGTGCAATGGTGGCATCTAGCAGTAAACTTGTGGAAGGGTTAGATTTACAGCAATACAAATGGCCATTCGTACATTACTCCTCAGAAGTGCTCGTTTGAACAAATAGAACCTTGTGTTGCAATATGTGCCATGACTTTCTTGTATGCAATAAAATGGTTCATGCATTGCAAATGCTGCTGAAGTCTATGAGTAGATATTGAACCTCATACATTTCTTCACTAATTTTAGTGATATAATGATGAAATGGAATAGGTCAATCATTTCCTCAGTGGTACCCATTTTAATGAGATGATAATAGTTTTTTGACTACTAATTGCACCAGAAAGAGGATGACTGGTAACATGCATTAGGTTGTAGATCTTTTTTTATGTGGTTAGTAACTTGGATCTTCTTACTAACTTTTAAGTAATTTTTATTGTTTACAATACTTATTGTTGAAAAACTTGCTGTTTGTATATGACATATTTGATTTTTTTGGTTGGACTATTATGTGATTTAATATTTATCTCAAAAGTACTTAAGCAGTTCTACTATACAAATGAACTGCTCAATTTAGGTGACAAAAGTCTCTGTAGCTCTTTTTTTAACAAGATTATAACCGTATTTAGTGCCTAGCAAACATTTCCCTTTGATATAGTGGTAACAATAGTGATACAGTTTCAAGAGTTCTGTAACAGATAGAAAGAGATTTTTTCAAGTTGTCGGAAGATGTTTACTCAAATGGAAACAGAAAATTGAAAGTAACTCATTTACCAAGAACTAAAGACTACAGAGTTATGTTACCAGACAGATCAGAGATGATGCCAAGTTCATTTTCTGCATATGTGATGAGTGAATTAAAATGTGAATGCAAGCAATGAATGAAAAAATTAAATGTGCATGTTATCTGAGTCTTTTGTGTGATTAAAAAAAGAGCAAAGAAGAGACATTAATCTAAAGAAAATACTTGTCAGAAAAGAATTTTTAGAAAAATACCAGGAATGCATTGGAATGAAAGGCATATCTTAAAGCCTCTGAACTGACTATGATTGCGGCCTTTCAGGAAACAGTAGAATGATGTACCACGTATCATTTTGGTGTTTGAAAATTTGTATGGTAGGTATTTTTAAACAAATAGTTTTATCTGCTTCTTATAATTTCTCTTTTTTATCATTTCTCTTTTCATTGTAGTTGTAACTACTGGTTTATCTTTTCTCAGAGCTTGGACTTGTATTCCTATTTAAGCTTTGTTTGACTTTTTGTAAATAATGTGTTTGTACCTTTACTTTTTTTTTTCCCCTTTCTATTGATAAATAATTTGTGTGTATGTGTGTTTGTCAGTTTATATGCCTTTTTTCTGTATTTTTCCTCTCTATCTATCTTTCAGTTTGCATGTGTTTGTTTGTGTGTGTCTGTGTATGGGAATGGCTGTGTTTGTGTGTGTGCACCTCTGATTGTTGTGGCATCACCACTTTGAATGCAGAACATTGTTTTACTGCAGTGTCTGTGAAATATGAAAATAAGTGTTGCCTGAGTGTGTTTCTTGTAAGAAAGGAAAACATGAAGAAACAAAATACAGGGCATTGGTTCCCTGCCAGTGATTTATGTAACAAGTCTCCATCCGCTTAATTTCTTTGATCAAAATATTCATCGTTCTACGTTACACTTTGCCCATTTTGATGAAAGAGCTGAGGAAGGAATATAAGAGATATTAGTCTTCTAGACTGCTGATTGAAGCCATTTTCTTTCTTGGTGAAGTGAAAACAATTTTGATGGCCACATCTTTTTCTGTGTGGCAGGAAGTGATAATTTTGCCATGTTGTTTTTGTTTATTTATTAGCATCATTTATGAATAATCTGTGCTTAAGGTGTGACTCTTCTTTCAGTGATCACTACATTGTTATCATACTGTGTATCTTGTGAACTGCGCTTTCCATTTTCAGTGACCATTTGTCCTTGGTTAGAAAGGAATGTGAAACTGGCTTTTATAATAAGCTATTTTTTTTTAATGTCAAAGGAGCCAAGTTTGCCACAATGTTGTTTGTGCTGTTTTTCTGTATGTACATTTTGTCATTTTGTATTTTGTTTTCATGGATGTTTTATTTGTGATGTGGAGATGATATGTCCAAGAACTTTGGTATTATATACATTTTATAACTTACTTTCATCTTAATGAGCAATTGTGAGAAATCATCCTAATTATTGTCATTATTGTTTTTATTATTTATTTGTCAATACCTTTTCATGGGGACAGCTAATATCACAAGGCAGCTGTTGTATATTACCATCAGTTCATTTACTGAATTTTCTTAGTGTGGGACTTGTATTTTTCCTTACATTTTGGTCTTTTTCAGGTAATGAATTTCTTTAATTTGATTGTTTGTACAAATGACTTATAAAGAGGTCATTGCATCTGATATATGACCTAGGGTAAGTTGTCTGGAATGTGAACGGAAATGGTGCCTCATTTTAAAGAATGCTGTTGAGACTTTTAATACACTGTACTTCTCTTGGCATCAGAAGTAACTTGGGTGAAAAAGTAAAGTACAGGATAAAAGAAATAAGAAGGAGCCTGTTTGCCATATGGGGTAATTTTATTTCAAGAAATGAAGATGCTCTTAACTTTTTTTTATTCTTTTTATATTTAGTTTCTTTATAGGGTTGAAGGCTTAGTTTTATAAAATTCTGTTTTATTTATTTATTTATTTGTTATTATTATTATTATTTTTTACATAATACAAATTGTGGTATTGATGGTCTATGCCTAGAAAGTAAATTGTCTGGCTGCTCATTGTAAGATTTCTTACAATATTGCCTTATATCAAGCAAGCCATTGAATAAAAACATGTAAATATACTACATAACAATTATATTATTTAAACATTTTTTGATTAACTTCTCATTAAGTGTGAAAATGTGGCTAAGTCCCTGATTTAACTTTTTACTAAAGTAACAAGATTGCAGAAATGTGAATGAGGTAATCAGATTGTGTAAAGAGAGAGACAAGAACTGTGCCTTCACTACAAACAGATGAGTTGGTGCTGAAAGTTTGCCACTTCCTGAAATTTAATCTATGTGATTTTTTTTATTTGCAAAAAGAAATTCCCTATATGAATTGAATCAAATTGTAAATTCCAAAGTTGAATCTTCAAGCTCCTCTGCTTGCTGCAAATAACTTGATTCAAGAAAATAAGTCCATAACCAATTTTAAGAATACAAATCAAATATAATACTTTATTTTGATTAGAATCTACATTGTAAAGAGAAGTCAGAGATGAGTATATTTAACCTAGCTATATGTTAGTTGTACAGGAAAGGAAATTCCTTTTGATAAAGAGAAAAAAATTGTTTAGAAAAAAACAAAAGAAAAAACAAGTGATGGTTTTAAGAATTTATTTAAAATGAGCGAATTTTTTCCATGTGCTTACAGTTTCATTATACTTTTTCATCCATGCCAAATGCAGGCTTTGTGCACTTTTTCCCATTTTTTTCAATTTCTGTGAAAAGCAAAGAATGTATGGTTTTGTGATTTGTGAACACCTCATTTCTCGCCTGTCATCTTTGCCTCATGCTGTGTTGACGTGTTTCTTTTTTTCTAATTGTAAGTTTTGTTGTGGAATATAGCTAAGGAGAAAGTTAATACTTAATGTAAATTTTATGAGTTGCAATGATCATCCTTAATCTTTTATTGTAAATAAAATAATGGCTTTTTTAGTGCTTGTAATTATCCTTGTCCACAACTACTGTTAAACAACTCTACATTTACTGATAAGTGTTTTAGAGAAACTTAATATTTTATATTTAGTTGGTGCTGTGTGTGCAGGGTGTGGTTTGTCTATGATTGCAAACCTTGCTGCTTTCATCTTCCACCATGGGCAGTAAAAAGCTCTCATTATCAAGCCTTATATGTCACCCATGAAAACCGTTATTTTGCAGTTCCAGGCTAAATTGTAGAGGCTATCAGCGTAGCAGGAGGACCAAGAGGCACCAAGCCATGGCTCACTGGTCTGTGGCTTTTGGTTTGGGCAAATCTACCAACTTTTTTTTGAGGAAGTCAGATAAGCCAGGCGATTCCCAAGAGAGATTTTTGTGAATAAAATGGCAGGGTTGTTGTGGCAATGCACTCTCAGCTTTAATCTCTTGTGATTAACTAATCATTAATTAGTTCATTTATTGCATATTTTTTAAAAAATAGGTTGTCATGTATTACCGTTGGTTTATCTCCAGCTACACTCAAAGGTATAGATGACCAATTATTAGATACCATACCAAACTTATCAATAGAAATTAAGAGTTTCTCCTCAAACTAACGAAACCTGCTTTTAGGCATGTATAAAATCACAATTTTCTCGTTTTTCAACAAAATATATTGGCATATTTTTTTCTCTCATTTTCTTCAATGAACCTATTTCCTGTCCCTCAAAAGTTTTTTTTGCGGGATATATGACTAACAACCTCTAAGAAGATATTGAATATTGGGTGAAAATGTGTACTCGGGCTACATAAAATCATCCTAAAAGAATAAAGAAATCTTTCTCTTCAAGTAAAAGATACATCTTTTTATTTATTTCTTTTCATTACTTCAATTTAGGGCCACTGAGACAAACAGCGCAACTTTCATATTTTATATTATAAATATAATAAATATAAATATAAACTTAATTATACAACAGCATTCAATAAAAGTAAGGAAATATCTAAAACAATAGAACTAAAAAGCATGGACGCACATAATGAACGGAAACCTCCCATCAGAGCACCTGTCACTCGCCAGGACCCATTTGAGAGGGAGCTCTATAGGGCCTAGGCAATGGCTGCGAGCTCGGGGTTCCCAAGGACGGCGCAGATGAAGCAGGTGGAGCCGACTGTTGAAATCAGGCCCGAGAGAATCATGCTCGTGAAGTACATGACAGCCAAGGCGATCCCAATATACAAGGAGCCGTCTATTGCGTACTCCACAGCACGAGAGAACCACCCGAGCTTTGAATACTTCAAAACGTCAATCTTATCCGAAATCGATGATGTGTTGTTCTCAGCCGCAAACCCGTGGTCTTCACTTGCATGGTCCAGGATCGTTTGTTTCTCCGAATTTAGAAGGAATGTTGCAAGGCCCTTTATGGCATGGAACAGAGGATCTTCGTCATTCTTTTCATTAGATGATGACCCTTCAAGATACTCATGCGTGTATACCTGCTGGTCTGTTAAAGAATTAGTCTCGGTATCAGAGTCCGAATAGATAGAATTAACCTCATCATTGGGTTCCTGCCTACGCCAGAAACCGAAGTTCTGTCTGCCGCTTTCAACACCAGGATCTTCCTCAAGGCTACCAGGAGATGCTTCTAAATGAGTCTCATCCGAATCCATACTAGAGAGACTCCTGACGTACTCCTGCTGGGGACTTCCTGCTGCGAGAGGTAAGCTATTTACGACGCCGCTGTTCCGAGGCATGAGTAGATCGACCACGCTCTTGAGGAAGTCCCTGAACTCCTCTACTGTCGTGATGTCTCCCGTGGCGTTGAAGGGCAAGATGCTGTCTTCGTCCAGATGCGTGACGCGCTCGAGGCAACAGTGGGCTTTGTCAGGATCACAGGTCAAGTTTAAGAGCTGAAAGATTTTAAATTACAGCAGGCTTGGCGATTAAGGATAAAGTTATAGCGCAAACATGTAAAAGGGTAAAACTGCAGAAGCAATAAGGCTATGGATACTAAAATGCAAGTGAAAGGCAATGAGATATTCTTTAATTTACAGGCCGGTGAATTTAATAGCTCACGTTCTATTGTATTATATAGTCTATATTTTCATTTACTCTTTTTGGGACTATGTCACTATTTTTGCCTGAATCAAAATATTGCAATTCAGATACAGTTAAACACATGAAAAGAATGCTGCTTCCAAAGAGTACGGATAAGACAGACGGAAAGACAAATAAATAAACAAATAAAGAGGATGAATATTACAATAATGTGTTATCACATATTACATTTTTACGAGACCAAACCCGTTACTGACTTGGTGAAGGGGCGCCCGGGGCACGAACACGGGGCAGGGAACAAGGGGGTCCTCGCACCAGCAGGAGTGAGGCTCCACGTCGCTCGCCAACGCCAGCAGACGGCTCAGAGAAGTGACGCCCACCCTAAGACGGGAGAAGTAGCTCGGTCGGTCATCTCTGATTTATGTTCGTATAATAATGGTTTACGGATGAATTAATACCAATACACCCAATATTCATGAAAAAATAAGAAAAAATAAAGTGTACATGGTAAGTACTATTAGAAGGGAAAGTAGATGTAAAAGCATGCAAAGTTTTATAAATACTAAATGAATGGACACTATACACAATGTTTATTGAACGATGGAAATATGAATTTTGAAAAGAAAAATGCACCACAACACCACTGAAAAGTATGTGAATGTAAAATATGGCGACTTCTAAATTTTAATGAGTAGCATATTCACTCCCGACTACAACAGCCTGATGGCTTCACGTCATTTTCAACATAATACATACGATCTAAAAATACTGAACACTACAGCAAAATATTTTTCTTCTTTAAACATAGGCATGGCTTTATACACATCTTAGTATACAATATCAGTAACAAGAAAAAGACAAGAAAAAAAACTCGTATTACACTTAAGCAGAAAGAACGAGAATCCCTTGATAGCCCCCTCCTTTCCCTCACCGGCTGCTCTCTTTACGGAAGGAGGTCAGGCTGTCAGGCCCCAAGGACGCGTAGGATGAGTGACAGGGAGGTCGAGGGATGAACTCCAGGTATAAAGAAACTAGGGGACGACAGGGAGTGGAAGAGAGGAACAATGGGCGGGATTGTGGTGATGGTCACGGGGTTAATTAAAGAGTTGATGAGAGTTGATGTGGTGAAATAATGTGTATGTACACGAACAGGCACCCGCCCCCCCCCCCCCACACACACACAAAAAAAAAAAAAAAAAAACTTACCACGGCGACAAGCACAAACCGCAAAAAGAACCTACCTCTGCAAACTATCGACGCCGCTAACCGTTGCCGATACCGCAGCGGCGCAGAGCACTGCAACCGCTGTGTGGACTGTGAAGGATGAAACATGATATAAACAAGGGGTAATCTGAAACTCTGTTTTTGGTCTTGGCAAAATAATACAAATTAAAAAATCAGGGTTCATTTTCATCGTCAATGAATCAAAATGATCATACATTTGCATACAGAGATACCATTGAAAGCACACAAAATATATATAAATCGCCACAAAATAATTTCGAGTAATAATAAACCGACCACATACAAAACTCAGGCTAATTACACACTACAAAAATGTCACTACTTCCCCAGTAATAAAATTAATAATTACCACATCGATCTGGGATATGTGAATATTGAAAAAAAATGTTGGCCACATAAATCATATCGCATAACTATATTAATGATGAAATGCCTTGGTCATTTTGGTGCAAACATACCAACATTAATAATACCAATGGTGCACCTTATACGAATGTTTTGATACGTCATTAATGTAGGCCTACTGCTTAATGAGCTATTTTGATGAAGGAGGCAATATGTCCTCACATTAGAGGTATGATAATACATATCTTTAAATTCATGGTTGACAATAATGGCAATGAGGATAATGATAGTGACAACAAGAGCAACAGTATTCATTAGTACGGGGTAAAATGAAGACTACAGGAGTGCTATAAGTGATTATAAGTTCTCGCAAATTTCATTTTGGATGTCGATGTTATTGAAGGGCAGCTTATGAAGCCCACTGTCCAGACATGGTAGTTTGACATAGGAAAGGGTGGGTTAAGCGGTCTCGTTTATGTGTATGGAGCTCTGATAATGGCAAACAAATCTAGTGTTTATTTGGCACGTCACTCTAACCATGCTAACATTGTCACTATATTTGGTTTACACGAATTGAAGCTTCTATAGCTGGAGATATCAAAATCGATACATGCAGATTTTTTTTTATAAGTACAGCAATTAAAAATATGACCGACAAAACACAAGTGCCTACAAATTTCAACATTTTCTGAAGACGCTGATAATAAAATACTCGACTCACCCATTCGTGCAGTAGACATCTTGGCCCAAAGTAGATGAAGCCACTAAATTATCTTGACACAGAAATCTCAAGCCACTTCGACTAGAACACGTAAAATAGATATGTAAATAAATAAAGGGAAAAAACGTGAACTGTATTTCCTGACAGCACCAACCCCACCCAACCAGCCGCTCCGACCTTCGCTTCCGAACTGACTGCCTTCTTTTCGAAACCTCGGGACTTCGGCGCCGCGACCAGGGTGTCGAACTCGAACTTTTTGGCCTCGGGAAGACTGACGCCGTTTATGTCTTTTGTGCTTGTCTGTCAAGCCGGATTTGAAATGACATTTCCTTTTGTCTCTTTCGCTCTCCCTAACCTGGATTCCGAAGCTGCGATTGACAAAGAACCTGGTCATAAAGAAAGGTCACAGGTCAGTGTGGCTTTGTTATCAAATTGCATTACAGATTTTCTCCCTTAGGGTCATCGCACATTTCGGGATATGGTAGTTGTGTGTTCTAGTTAGAAATGCTTTTCCAAGATTCTATGCCGGACCTGATATAGTAACTGGCGGTCATTTCGTGAGCTTTTTTAATTTGAAGTTTCGTATGATGCCACTTCATAAACTGCTTTGGTTTACTACTGCCACTTTCTATGATATGTGCATACGGTTAGGTATTGTATATTGTTTCTAATAAAATGAATTACACAATTATTATAGTGTTCTTATATTCAGAAATGACCAGTATGTATCGGCTGATGCGAGTATTTTTTGCATACGAACTCCTGA